GGGTGCCCTTGGTTCCGGCTGATTCAGGTAATCCACGACCACCACGTACTACAAAAATGGAAAATTTACATAGGCCCCAAGGATTCCCTAAGGAAGCTAATCTATACATTTTTGTAGGAATGATATTAAAAGACAGTCCAAAAGACAGACAAAGGTTTGCTAGAACAGGATGGAAAATCACCTTATGATGATAGATTAAGCCACAGAACAAAAAAAATGGAGAGATGTCCTGGACTGGCAGTATTTTTCCCTTTGGTATTTACCTAAGAGACTCCAATATTAAGGCAAGTCTGTTTCTTGGCGAATTGACACACACTATTGAAAATGCAGAGGGGTTAGATACAAGACTCTGTGGCTTGCAATTGTGGACTTTTAGGTGATTTAAATTAATCCAGAGGGGAAATGACAGGTATGTGCACCACTGTTAACAAAGGAGATGGGAGATGACATTTATTTTTGGCAATAGAGAGAAATCCTGCCGAAACACAGATGCTCTCTCACCACGCGGGAGAGAATGAAAATTCACTATGAGAACACTGAAAATCTCAACACAAATTTAAGTAAGGAGGCCTGGGAACAGGAAGCGGAAAGAAAATGCTCCTTCCCTGACTGGCAGGCCTTGCCCATGGGGATTACAGAGCGGAGATGTCTGGACTATCGGGAGTCTCTGTCAAGCAGCCATCACCCCCTGCCTGCTGCGCAGCCGGCCAGCGTATCTGAGGCCCACATGTTGTGAATTCCTCATCCAGCGCATGCTGTGGACCCACGAGCTGCTAGTTCCACCTGAAAGCTGTCGCCTCCTTTCTGCACCGCCTGACCTAGACACTGAAGGGCTCCTCCTTGGCATGTACTGCAACATGGGTGTTCAGTGCCCCCATGTACGTAAAGCTCCTTCCACATTCATCACAAGAAAAAGGCCTCTCCCCTCTGTGATGGTGCAGATGGGTCTTCAGACTTCTCTTCTGGAGGAACCCCTTGCCACATTCCGAGCACCTGAAGGGCTTCTCTCCACTATGCGTATGCAAATGGACCTTCAAGCTTCCCCTTATGCAGTAGCTCTTGTCACACTCGGGACACTGGAAGGGCTTCTCCCCACTATGGACTCGAATGTGTTCGGTAAGCCTGTACTGCTGAGTGAAACTTTTGCCACATTTAACGCAGGAGAATGGCTTTTTGTCACTGTGCTGGAGCAGATGGCTTTTCAAATTTCCTTTGAGACGGAAACTTTTGTGGCACTCAGGACACTGGAAGGGTTTCTCTCCACTGTGGATTCTCTTGTGTTCCGTGAGCTGAGACTGCTGAGTGTAGGTCTTACCGCACTCACCACAAGCAAAGGGCTTCTCGCCCCTGTGTATCCGCTGGTGGAATTTCATGGAGGCCTTCCAGAAGAAGCTCTTGTCACACTCGGGACACTGGAAAGGGTCCTCCCCACTGTGAAGTCTCATGTGCTCAGCGAGGTGCGAGTGTCGGCTAAAGCTCCGGGGGCACTCAGGACAGGAGAAGGGCTTTTCTCTGGTGTGGACTTTGAGGTGCTCCGTGAGCCTCGACTGCCGAGGAAAGGTCTTTTTGCACTCACCACAGGAGAATTCCTTTTGCCTGCTGTGGACTCTGCCGTGGCGAGTGAGCTTAGAGGGCCGGGTGAACCTCTTGCCACACTCGCCACAGGAGAATGGCTTCTCCTCACTATGTAAACGCTGATGGGCCTTCATGGCATTCTTCCAAGAGAAGCTCCGGTCACACTCGGGACACTGGAAGGGCTTCTTCCCACTGTGCTGAAACAGATGGGCTTTTAGGCTTCTCTTCAGGCGAAAACTTTTCTTACACTCGGGACACTGGAAGGGCTTCTCTCCGGTGTGGACTCTGATATGTTCAGTGAGTTTCATCTTGTGTGTGAACTTCCTACCACAATCGTCACAAGAGAACGGCTTCTCTCCACTGTGCGTTCTCTGGTGGGCCTTCATGGCAGCCTTCCGGGAGAAGCTTCTGCCACATTCAGGACAAAGGAAGGGCTTCTTCTCGTTGTGTTGGCAAAGATGGGCCTTCAAACTCCTCTGCAGGCGGAAGCTTCTGTGGCACTCTGGACACTGGAAAGGCTTCTCCCCGGTGTGCACCCTGCGGTGCTCCTTGAGCTTGCATTGCTGGATGAAACCCTTGCCACACTGCTCACAGGAAAATGGCTTCTCCCTTTTGTGCAAACGCAGATGCTTCTTCAAAGTGGCTTCACACTGGAAGGTCTTGTCACACTCGGGGCATGGATAGCGCTGCAGCCCCGAGTGAACGACCCGGTGGTGAGTGACCAGGCTGCATCTGAGACAGTAGCTCTTCTCGCACTTGCCACACTGGAAACGCCGCTTCTTACGTGGGATCATCCGGTGCCACCTGAGCTCGGGGTTCCCTCTGGATTTGTTTTTGTACTTTGAGTATTTACAGGGCTGGCTCTTAGAGTGGCTTCTTTTGTGCTTTACCAAGTCCCTCTTTAGCTGAAAGACCTTTCCACAGACAAAGCAGGAATAAAATCTTGGTCCTGGTGGAACTTCCAGGTGGTCTGGAGTACCTGTCAGCTTATGCCCTGGATTGTTCTTATCCTGACCAGATGCTCCAAGGTCGAGGTTTTTTTGTACAATCCCTATTTCTTGGAGACTTGGATGCTGTAACGCAGCTCTTTGATCTGATAAGATCTTTCTTTGCTGCCCTGCTAAGGTAGCACATGAACCCTGCTTTAGACCATTTAAATGGCCTTCCTCCTCTTTTGCCCCGAGAGTTCCTTGGTCACCTGGAGAGAAAAAAAGAAGACCTGCCCTTACCAGTAATGTCCCTGGGTTAACTGGTGGCCTCAAGAATTGTCTTCACACCTCTCACAGCACGGGAAAAGGAATCTCATTGATTGATGACTGTGCATCTGCCTTCACAAGTAAATTACATTTAAGGTTAACTGTGATATGCAAATCCTTCCATTATGTGTTAAGAAATGGCTTCATGTGGGGGGAAAAAAAACCAGGGAACTATATCTTGTGAACTTATGGATGACCCTCAGAGGGTAAGCAGAAGTTGAGAGAAAATAAAGAGAAGAGTCTGAGAACAGGACCATTCTATTTCCTGAAATTTGTGAAATAAGGCTTTGGGTCATATTCTTGCCCCTTCTACCACAGATTTCAGGAAAAGCTTTCTGGAAGAAATGTTCACAGAAAGCATCTTTTTTAGGAATGTCAAATGGCAAGTGATTAAATTTACAAAGAACACTATAGAAATAATTTCCTTTTTCAAGGAACACCTCGTTATCAGAAAGGTATTAATATGAGCACAGTCAGTGCTGTTCCCAAGGGAAAAGCCATGATGACAAGAATCAGGGAGCTAACGAGTTGGCACCTTATTTTCATCCACAAAAACCGGAGAGAACAACTGCAGCCTGTATATATTTCAGAACTGCTTTTTCTCCCACCTGTTGAACTGAGTCCTGGGGCTCTTCTTTTTTAAGTCTCTCAACACAGGAGGAAAATTCACCTGTCAGGAAGGGTGGGCCTGCCCCCTGAAAAAGACTCTGATTATGCTCTGTGGTCATCTTAACAACAACATAGGTAATGCTTCCAACTGGGTGATGTCATTTAGCAAGCACTCCACAGCTGACATCTAGATCATTCTTCCCTACTTCCTTGACTCCTCTATTTCTTACCACTTTACTACTTATTCCAGGCAGAGGAGCAGTTCTGATTATTGGACGAGTGCCACTTGGCAAGAAGGGAACATTAGTTTTTAGGGACAGCCACTAAAGTTGTTCATTCTTTGGTACTCAGAAAACTTTCTAGGTCCTACCTTTCTATAGAATGAAGTCAAACTTCTGCCTCGGCTTTTTAGCCTCAGATAATCTGACATTACTTTATGTTTCCCCGTCTCCATGTCCCATACCATCCCAAGAATAACATTCGGCTATACGTTTTCTAAATACAATGCACTTGTTCCCACCTCTGAGTCTCAGCTCATGTATCATCCTTGCTGATCTTCTCTGTCTGACCAAATCTATACATTCTTTGTTTTTTAAATCCTAATTCCTTAGAAGTCCTCTTGGGAAACTGCTATTTCTACTCCACTCATTCTCCCCTAAATCCCTATAACTCTACTACCACTGCCACTTATTTTATTAACTTGTATACAGTCCTATTTCATAGAGGACTAGTCCAACAGTTCAATAGAATAGACTAATTTAACTGCCACTTAACGTCAAGTCAGGAAGACAGTAAACTCCTACAGGATATACATACAGATACGTATATCTCTCTGTCCCACCCCAGCCTAAGTAATAACTGACAGTCCTATGAACATGGTAGGGACTATATACTCGTTAGATGAATGAAATAAGAGACGGTGGCAATGAAATAACGTCCTTGGGCATTCTTTTATTCTTTTGATGGACCTCATCATACATTTCCTGGGTTCAAATCCCCTTCTCTTCAAGAGAATCCCTTGACTACCAGGGACTTAGAAGGTCTCCATTTAATAAAACATTAGCATAGTCTAAAAAATGACATATTCCCTTAAGTATTTAAAGTGTTATAAAGTATTTCCAATGTTTTTCTTACAAGGAATTCAAAAAGGAATCCTTCAAAAGGAACTTAAAAAAAAAAAACCCAAGTTCTAAAATTGTGCATAATAAAAAATAATACATTATACCAAATTGGACAGTTTTCCATTTCTGTATATTCAAATGGACACAACGGTGTGATGGAGAAGGTGGTTGTTCCTCAGGGCTTGGCAAGTGTGTCCTTTACTTGCTCTTTTACGGGTACTTCTTTCCAGGGTCGTAATTTTTTTCTTTTATTTGAATGAAACATACACAACGTCCCTCTCTATAAAAAGTAATACATTCTTGTGTTTGTTTCCCACTTAAGTAAAAAAACCTGATATTCTCCACCAAAACAATGTTTCTTAGTCACTATGTCCAGCTGCCTACCCAGAAAGATTCAGGAAAACGAAATGAGTCATGACCCTAAATCCATCATACTCACCAAAATACAGCAACTTTCCAGTCTTCTGCAAGTCCTGCTGCTCATCAGTAGAAGGGCTAAGTGTCATGTTTTTCTCCAAGGGTCCCCGGTCTCTGATTAACAGCATTCTCCCTTGTTCTATCCAGGTGATCAAATTCGGCTTGGAGAAAATGCCACCTGCAGGGAGAGTCCACGCAGACTCAGTCTGGGTCTACCTGAGTCCTTTACTAAAAGTGATTTTCACAGTTAAGTTTGATTCCAGTAATACATCATCAAAGTTAGGTTAAAAAGATCAAAACCCTTGAAATTACGTGAATGACAATAAATTTTAGCCTAAGCAAAACTGTTTAGCTTAGATGTCCTCTGCAATATTTCACAAAATTAAAGGAAAGAGAAGTGAAGGGCGATGATTTTTAAAAGGCCAACAGATCAAGGCAGAAACCATTAACAAATAAATGATCATTATAAGAACAATAAAAAGCAAAATCACAGGTGGTCAGGGAGGGAGACCGATCACTAAACACTTTTTTTTTTTTTTAAGATTTTATTTATTTAGCTGACAGACAAAGATCACAAGTAGGCAGAGAGGCAGGCAGAGAGAGAGGAAGAAGTAGGCTCCCTGCTGAGCAGAGAGCCCGAGCGGGGCTCAATCCCAGGACCCTTGTATTATGACCTGAGCCGAAGGCACAGGCTTTAACCCACTGAGCCACCCAGGCGCCCATGGTGTCTTTCTTTTCATTGCTGTGCACTGCCTTTCATTCTCCACATAGCAACTCAAGTAATTAACTCGAGTTAATTACTCAAATTACTCAACATTTAAACAAATGTTGACATATTACTGCTGTGTAAATCCTCTCATCATCTTATCTTCCCTTTGTCTAGAATAAAATCCTAGAGGCCCCTTCCTCATTTGGTATACCACTGTCCCCTTCTCCTAGCCTTCTACACATGTGCTCCAGGAGCCTCCCTGTGGCTCCCACCACACACTGACCACATATATTCCAACCCTCAAATTTCTGCACTAGTCCTTCCTCTGCTTAAATTCTCTTCCCCCTGATTTCACACAATTGACTCATCTTATCCTTTGTGTCTCAGATGGAAGAGGTTATAAACCCCAAAGGAGGGAGAGAATGCTACAGGTTATACTGAGATCACCTATTAAAGTGAAAACAGTAGAAATGGTTTTAATGATACATGAATGAATTAGAGCAAGCTGGATAAAGAGCAAGGTATAAATCTCCACAAATTTCTCTTCAAATCTGCCCCCTCAGTATTTCTCTAGGGATACCTATATGTCCCATCCCACTGCTCTTTCTCCCTCTACCAGAGAGCTATTTTCCCAGTTCTTATGAGGATAGAAAATTCATCATATCTAGGCAACATAAGTAGGCATCAAAGTATCAGTTAAAAAAAATAAAAGAGTACACTTAAAAAGAGAGACAGATGGTTATATTATTTAGTAATTCTAACTGTGGGAGAAACAAGGGAGTGTTTGGGTGAAAGAAACTGCAGAATTAATAAGACTGAGGAGTGCAGATGCCACTAGATAAAAAGGGACAAGTTAAATATTCCCAGGCCGTAACAGAAGCTAATGACATATTCCGAGTGTAAAATAGGCAAAGAATCATGTTCATCCAGCAACAGCTCATACAGAACAGAAAGCCTATTGAGAGCAGGCAGCTTCCCCAAAAATGATTCCTTTGAAGCCATCTTACCCAGGGAATCAAGAGTCTCATAATTGGTCTTCATCACTTGCTGATACATTTCCTTCTGCCACTTCTCCAGGATCTCCCACTCTTGCTCCGAAAAGTATAAGGCCACATCATCAAATGTCATTGTTACCTGGAATCACAAACAATACATGCATACGTTTTCATGTTCAAGCTACTGTCTTTCGATGTCGGTGTCTTTAACAGACAAGAGGAAACTACGCTAAAGTCTCCTTCTCTCTGGTTGGTGCCATGAACGATGTAATAGAGGGGTCACAGAAGTCCACGGGACCCACAGAGTGAATGAATGACTAGCAGACCTTTGAGGACGTGTACCCTCTAGAGGGGAATCCTTTACTTAGCAACAAGCAATTACTGCTATGCAAGACTTTTAAAAAACTTTTTATTTTGAAATAATTACAGACTCATAGGAAGTTGCAAAGATACTAGTCCAGAAAGGTTCCCTGTATCCCACACCTGTTGCGGGAAGGGGTGAGAAGCAGAAGGGAAGAAAATGCATTACATTAGTAAGATTATTAGATAAGAAATTTCAGGAAGGGTAGAAGGAAAACTTGCATAGGTAGGCAGACTATACTTAATTGAACTAAACAGTTTCATAGATTAAGCTCAGGATATGCGTTTTAAACTCTAAAACCAGTGTTCACATTTTCCATTAACAGCCCCACCGGTTTCACATTTACTCGCCTCTCCTAGAGCCACCAGTCTGCAGGTCCTCTCATGCCCACTCTTCCTTCCCGCAACTTTTTTCATCCGTTTATACAGACGTAGCCGCAGAGGCTACCTCCACCAGCAGAGCACGGAACAAGAGCCCGAGAGAAACCCCGACGTGCAAAGAGCCCCGACACACGGCGGGAAAAGACGGGTGACCTGAGGGAACGACCGGTAAGACCCTGGATTTCTCCACTCCGCCCCTCTCTTCCGGCCCCAATGCAGAGCAACTCCGGCACCTCCACCGCGCCTTCGCCGGCCGCGAGCTAGGAGCTCAGTCCTGGGTCACGGACAGTCCCCCGCTACCTCACTCCCCGGCTCGGGACCCCCCTCCAGACCGCGAACGGGACGAATTTCGATACGGCCCGCACCCTCCACGACCCCGCTTACCGGACCCGGCTGTGCCATGGCCCTTGGAGACCCCGCCAAGTCCACCGCCCGACAGACGCCGAGACCCTAGGCGGCCCCGCAGCACCCACTTCCGCGCGCGGCCTCCTGCCCCGCCCAGCCCCGCAGGCCCAGCCCCCGCGCGGTGCACGCTGGGACTCGAGCCTGATCCCCGCCCACAGCGCCCCCTGCGGGCCGGAGGAGACAGCGTCGTCCGCGGGAGCCTCATGGGCAGGGCTGGCCGCAGCGGCTGTGGCACCGTGGGTGGCAGGTCATCTCGCTCTGCCAGGGGTCTCCAAACGACGAGGACCGAGACCCAGACGCGCTAAAAGGCGCTGGAGAGAGGGAGACGGAGAGGTGGACGTGCAGAGTGAGCTGCAAGTAGGGAGGAGACTCGCTCTTCACTGAGCCCTGGACGGAAAGGGGGTGCGGGGATTGGTTCCTCCCGGAAGCCGACCCCAGGCGAGGGCAGGATCACTGTGAGGGACCTAAGCCAGCCAACGGGGTCAGGGAGTCGGTCCCCGCCGTAGGCAAATGCGGAGTCTGTGGTGCCGGGCACTCTGAGAGTGTGCGGATCTGCCCAATCCTCCCGCCAGGGGCCAGGGCCCGGGAGGCTGGGAATCTATCCACCCAACCCGGCCCTGCTTCAGCGAGGGCACTTCTGGTCTACCTTGGACACAGGCCGAGCTGATATTTAACTGTAGGTTTTTGTAGATACGTCTTCGCAGGTTGAGGACGTTCTCTTCTATTCCTAGTTTGCTGGGTTTGTGTATTATGAGTGGGATCTTTCTTTGCCCAATGCTTTTAATGCATAAATTTCTATTATTGTGTAGTTTTTCTCCCTTAAGCGATTAATATGGTAGATTAGAAGGATTGATTTCTGAGCATTGAACCAGCCTTGCATTCCTGCCGTAAACCTCACAGTAAAAAACTGTGGAGCGTCTGAAATGCCACCCCTCGAACAAGCTAACAGATCCACCTGCCATAGTTTCATTCATTTTGGCAAAACACAAGGCTCGTGGGTCATAAGTAGCATGAGCTTTAAGTTCACGTCATTTCCCAAGTCCCATGGGAATGATATGGGGTGACCAGGTGCGCACTACACCTGTGATGGGTTTGTGTCACAGATGAGGAGCCCAAAGCTTAGAATTCCCACTCTTATACAATAGAGCTGCTAGCAATCTGCTCAACTACTCTGATAGTCTCTTTTATTTTATATGTAGGTCATTTACAAAAAGTGTAGTTATTGGTAGATCTGGATTTACATCTATCATTTTATTATTAATCATCTGCTTTTCCTCTCTGTTTTTCATTTCTCTGTTCCCTTTTCTGGGTTATTTGAACGTGTTTTAGTATTACATTTTAATTCACTTATCATAATTTTCACTATATCTTTTTATATTTTATTTTGTGGTTGCTTTAGGAACTACAAAATACATACTTCATTTTCTTTTACTTTTTAAAGAAAGCAGCTTTATTGGGATGTAATTAATATACCAAACAATTCCCCGATTTAAAGCATACAGTTTAATAACTTTTCGTGTATTTCGCCTTCTTTTTTTTTCTTTTTTCTTTTCCTTTTTTTAAAGATTTTATTTATTTATTTGTCAGAGAGGGAGAGAGCACGAGCAGAGAGAGTGGAATGCCAAGGAAGAGAAGCAGGCTCCCCGCGGAGCAGGACTCTATTCCAGGACCCCGGGATCATGACCTGAGCTGAAGGTAGATACTCAAACAACTGAGCCACCCAGGCATCCCTCTTTCTTTTTTAATTAATAGGCTTATTTTGATCAGTTTTAAATTTACAGAAAAATGTGTGTTAAGTTTGGAGAGTTCTCATTACTCCTTTATCTTCCCTTTCTTACCCATATTAAAAGAAGCATGCAGGATTTTCAAAATTTAAAAATCCAAGGAAAAAGAACTACACAATGACCTGTATAAAATTCTAACTGTAGAAAATGCTAAACTCTGATTGTTTCAGAACTGATTGAACTGACTTGCAATGTTATTAACAATGTAAGAGGGTAACATGTCTCCCATCTTTTTTGAAACATTTAAAAATTATATTTGAGGGACGCCTGGGTGGCTCAGTGAGTTAAGCCTCTGCCTTCGGCTCAGGTCATGATCTCCAGTACTGGGATCGAGCCCCGAATCCGGCTCTCCGCTCAGCGGGGAGCCTGCTTCCCCCCCCCACCCCCCGCCTGGCTCTTTGCCTACTTGTGATCTCTGTCTGCCAAATGAATAAATAAATA